TTATTCATGACCATGCACCACTTGGCATTGGCATCCGTTAATAACATGAGCCGGTTTTTGAAATGCATAAATTATAAACATGAAAAACGCTTTCAACCGTGTTTTAATTTTCAACTTTCCTAAACATCAGTTAAAGGCATAATTATTATGAAAACTAGTGAAGAAAGATAATGAAAGTCAAAAATTTTTCAATAAAATTTTCTAATTAATCATATTTCACAACTTAATAAAACAATATTCCAACTTGAAGTCCCTAATTTTACGATTCAGCTTGTAGTCCCGTCGGCTTGATGTCCGGCACCCCAAAACTATTACCTTCAAAAACACAACAGTCTAAATTAACGGCAAAACAATGATCTTCGCGCACAAAAACGCGAAAAATGCCCCTATTTTTGCCCCTATTTTGTTTTGCCCCTAATTTGTCGAAACACATGGTTTGCGGGTGTTTTTGCCTCCTTTCGATCAAAACAACTCCCTTCAAATTCGAAAAAAAACTCTATGTGCTTTGATTATGCATCAAATTGAGCTCTTTTCAGTAAAATTCTTGAAGTCCATGAACAATAGCTGTTAGTTCTGGAAGAAGCGCAGAATGTTCCGACAACATTTATTTTTGCATTTTCAAATCGTGATTTTTTATTCATTTTCTGAACTTTTATATTTTTGTAAGAGTAATGCAGAAGGGCGCTATTAACACATTACGAAGTAATTAACTTCAGTTTTTCAAGACCATATAAGTCAGTTTAGCATAAGGAAACAAAAAAACAATAACAAAACAATTTAGCATAGAAAAAACATTTATGTCAATTTCAAAACAATTTTGGTCTAGGCTAGTCTGAATAGCAAAAAGTAGACCAGTGTGAAGTTTTTGAAAAACCGAGTCACGACTAAGATATTTCATATGATAAATCACTAGTGCTAGCCAAACTGCGTTGAGACAAAATACAAGCAAGTTTTAGTTACTTTCCTTCAGTTCGTGAAGTGGCCCGAAGAAGTTTTCGTTGTCAAAAAAACGTTTAAACGTTTAAACATTCCCGTTTTTCAGACTACAAAATTTTATTATGCTCCAACATCTGTTACTATGCTGAGGTGCAGGGGCGGATCTAGGATTTTCTCTAGGAGGGGGGGCGATTTTAAAAAAAATTGAAAATTTTGACGTTTTTTTTAGGTCGACCAAATTGATTTTTTGAGCTCTCCCAAAGCACTGTTTTGCCCCTATTTTGGCAAAATTTTCTGCGCCGCAGCCAATTTTTTGAAAAAACAGTCAAAAAAGCCGTTTTTGGGCAATTTTTGAAAAATTTTGACAAAAAAATCATGTTTTTTTTTGGCGCGCGCTTCCCCTCAAAGTTAGTTTATATTGGCGCCAAAGGCGCCTGTAAAAAATTTTGATGGGTCAGTCGGCCAAAAATGGATTTCTGAAAAAGTATCAAAGGGGGGACGCTTTGGGTCGGCATGGGGCAAATCCTACCGCCCCCCCCCCCCCCCCATAACCCCCCCCCCCCCTAAATCCGCCCCTGCTGAGGTGTTTGTTTCTGCATATAAGCTACTGATGTTACGGTATCAAGCTCAAAATCGAAATATTTCACTTACTCCCAACATATTTTCCTATAGCACTGATTAAGAAAGAAAGAAAGAATGAATTAATTTCTCATTGTTAAAGTTAAATTTGCATACAAAGAGAATTTAAATATGAAGCACCAGAAACAGTGAAGGGACAGTTAACGAACTCAGTTTGGTTACACAGCACTGCCAGTTTTATCAACTGATTAAGGTTTTCGTTTACACAGAAACAGCTTCGTCTCATTTAAGGAAGATAGGAAAAATTAAAATGAGCATAGCAAGATGTGAGCTAATCGCCCGATGACTGTTTAGTCCACTAGCTGCTTATGTGAATCCTTAAGTCTTCTTCTTATTTCGACATTCGAAGAAAATGGAAAACAAATGCATGTGCCCGTTTTTTAATGTAGTCAATGTTCGACTCTTTAAAACAGCAATTTCGAAATCATCGATAAGGTATTGTTATGCGGAGCTGGAATATTAAAAAAACACCTGTGATTCTTTTTCGTTAAGTTATGGTTGTTTTAAAATTGGTATTTTGGCCAATTCGGGATAACTGAAGCCTGGCATGGCAACAATTCGTAGACAGCGACCATTCGCAGCACTTACCAAGAGGCGACTATTCGCAGCATGCGCCGACACGTAGCAAGCGACAACTACTAGCGGTAAAAGCTTTGATCAGATCAAAAGAAATTAGATGAAAGGGTTAAATTAAAAAAATTGAAAATGAAATTGAATAACACGCCCTGAAGGTGCTTGAGAATATTATTGTAACTATAATGTTTAAGTACTTCAACTAATCGAAACTTACTTTTTTGTAGTCTGTCACCTTGGTGTGACTTTCTCCGGCAATTATTTTTGACAATTTTTTTTCCGACAGACTTTGTTTTTTTTTGCCGGAATTTTATAAATTTGTGAATGGTCGGGTGAGCACGCCCCATCCCCATCTGGAAGGCCCTATGTCATCCCTCCATCGAAGTGTTGGTTATCTGTTTTCCTTTTTTGCGTTTTCGAACTCGTTCCAGAGTGAAATAGGGAATTGCCCAACACCTCTGCGTCCTCGGAGGATGATTCCAACCGAAATTAATTTTAAGTATTCGACGCAACCAAATGAGATCACTCAAGGGGGACTCCTCGCCATGGTCGGAAATGTCAGAGCACGAAGCAGTAATGCCGATTTCAAAGTCAAGCTCAGGTATCAGTGCCAAAGGAACGAATAACTTTAGAAGCATGCGTGTTTTTTTATCTTCTCGATACACTGATGCTAACCCAGTCATTTGAATTTTATCGGGCCAATTAGCCTGAGCGAAATGAAAGAAGCATCCTTTTATAGTCACTTTATTGAAGAGCTTCGGAAAAGCGTTGATTGAAGCCTTCTCAAAATCTACTACAAACTGTGAGGGCTGAAGTCTTGGGTTCATTTCTTTCAATTGATTGATGGCTCAAAAGTAATGCTCTTCACTTTTGTTTTGAATAAGAAAGAAAACTAAGGGAACAAATTGATTGTTAACCACAGCATGAATTGTAAAAAAAAATACTTTAAATGTCCCACCTGCATGCCAGACTATGTTGCGTTCCAAAGTTTCTAATTTCTCGTCGGTGGCACATACAAACAATTGGTCTTTGTCATCCGACATCGAATCTAAAACGAAGAAATTATCCTTGTCAGCGTCTTGCTCAATTCAAAAAACTCATTCAAGGTCTTTGATTGAGTGGAGGGCGGAATCAGTTGCTCATTGTCGCTGAACAGCTCTGGCTTGTGACTTGTTCTTAGGTCAGTTAAAAACCATTTTGAGGCTGATATCCTCAGTGTTTTCCACGTAAGTGAGTCGAGGATGCTCTAATGTTGATATTCCTCTCTGTGTTTGATAGCACGTTTAACCCTGAAATTCTACAGTTTTATAACAGGCAAAGAAAATTTTTTTGACCCCCCTAAAGTCTTTAAAAAATTAGCCTGTTTGAAGGGTTATATATTTTTTTCTCTGGGTGTGGTCAGTCACCCCCTCCTCCACAGAAACGCACGCCTTGCAGTCATGCTTATTTAACGTTTTAAAACAATTTAAAATAAGAAAAATCTCAATTTTGATATGTTAAGTTTGCAAAAGTATCAATATTTTAGTGACCATGTTCTCCAGATTTGCTGACTTTTCCATCTGCGATAGTGGCAATAGAAACCACACACAGTTTCTTAACACATCGCCAGCTGGATTTATCATTTTTATTGTTGAGGCGGCTTAGATTGAAAGTTTCTGCATCGTGGACAACCTACTCTTTTCCTCGCTCGCTCAAAAACATATTGGTATCATTAAGTGTAATGATTGCTAGAAGAAATTGAAACGCATGCTAGGAAAAAAAGGTGTTTTAGATGCTACCAACGTTTAATTATCCTTATCTTTACTGTTAATTTATTTCAGTTTGGTATTTTATTCAAAAAAGCTGCTAAAATAAAAATTTTGGTTGCTCGATTAATTTTAATCCCCCCACAACCACCCCAAAAAATTTTTCCCAATTCGCATCGTTTTTTGGTCCCCAATTAGCAATTAATCATGCTGCTAATTGTCGCTTGCTACGATTTGACGCTTGATGCGAATTGTCGCTTACGACCAATCGTCGCTTGCGACGAATTGTTGCCTCACGCTAAAGCCTGATACCTTTTCAGGCAAAACAATTAATCTCATTACTGGTAGATAGTAAAAACACCCCTTTAAAGTTGACGCCCTTGTTGTTCACGAATGTCTGGGAATAAATTAAAGAAAAAAATGAAAAAAAAAGTTTTATTTTTTTCTTGATTATTTCCTCAATTGCTCATTAAAAAATTATATTAATTGAGCTTAAAACGCAGTGGGGATCCTGATATATTGGCAGTTCTTCACATAGGTATATAAGCACTCTAATTGTTGCGACTTTCGAATTGTTCCGACTTTTGTGCTCGAGTGGTTTTTTCTCCCTACAAAAAATGAATTTTTCGTTAGCTATTTTCGACGGATTTACTTTATATTAGCCAAAAAGTTTTGTTGTGTAGAGCTCAGAGTTTAAAAAGACTTTTCACTTGTGATCATAAATTATTGGTTTTAAAATTGCTGAGATTGCTACATATTTAATCTTTCTTAGAAATCGTTCCAAAATGAAATGAGGCATGATATGTAGTCTATTCAATACTTTGCTATGTGCGAAGTATATCACTTTTTTTAACCAGTATATTACAAAAAGGCGGTATTAAATGGAAGATGAAGTTTTTGCAAAATCTTTTTATGAGCAAAAATGTAAGTATTTCAAAATTAGATTCAAGTTATAGCTCAATATTTTCAATACATTACTCTCGACCTACTAATTTGGTTTATGAAATTCTAATGAGAATTGCATTGGAATTATTGCTCCGACTTTCGAAGAAAACGGAAAACTTAATTGTAATAAAAATATGAATTAGTTGCACTCGGTTAATTTGGTGCAAATCAAAATTTAGGCTATTTTTTCATATTTTTGTGTTTTGCAAGAATGCCTTTTATGCTTGATAGAATAAGGAGAACAAAATTACAAATACTGTGAGTACAGTGTGCACATATAAAAATACTCTATCCAAAAATTTTCCAAAATAGGCCCACAGATACTCCGCATTTTCTTCGCTTTCCAGAAACTCAATTTGCTTCACAGCATTTCGGAGCTTTTCCTGGACACTGCTCATGTCAGATGACGATATTTTTTGACCTTTTAAACCCGACAACCATTTGGATGACGTAGTAGTTCCTGAGGATTCGCCATTCGGTTGTTTCTCCAGATGACGTGGCGGCTCCTTAAAGTGTGACTCATCGCTTCCAGGAAATGACTTCTTCTTGGGACACGGTAGCAGTCCGAATACTTTCATGAAGTTGCTTGAGATGAGGCGCCTGGTTCGGACACCCATCCGATGAGTCCCATGGGCGAAGTGACACTTCACTACTTAAAATCAATCACAAAATTACTTTAGTTCTGTTTAAAAAACATGAACAGTCATTTTTTCCAAAAGTAAATTTAATTAGTGAACTTAATTTTTTTTTCCAAATTGTGGTCTTTGTTTAAAAAAATTCATATTTTGTTGCTTCGAATTTTCACAAAAGGAGTTTCAGCTTTAGTGCAGATTTTAAATGGTCTTAAGGGAAAAACATACCAATAATAGCGAGAAAGGTATCCAATGTCATATGGCAAATAGCAGCCTCGCAGAAGTATCCAATTTTTGGGAAACTGAGAGAACTGGAGGGGAGCAGATCCGAGATAGTCCCGAGAGACACGAACTGGGCGAGGAGGATCGTAATCGCGAACGAGATTTTCTCACCCGACTCCACTGGGATAACGAACACGAGACCCGACAACAGGTAAAGCAGAGCGTTCGGGACGACGAATATAATGACGTGGAAAAGGTGCCGACGTTTGAGTTTCAGATGGACAATTAAACTGTCCATTTTATCTTCATCACCTTCGAAAATTTAGAAAACATAACCAATTAGGATTCAAAAAGACAATTCGAAATCATAGATTTAACAAAGTGCATTCTAGTATTTGATATTTGATGCTACTTCAGAACAAAGACTCAAATAATTCTGTGAATGCACAATTCATTGAATTGCAAGAGGCTCTTACCATCATTCCACGTGCGCTCTTTCATGCTGATATGAACAGGTCGCTGCAGATCCCACTCGTCGTTTTCCCTATAGAACCGAAGAGGTACATGAACGACATCAAGGTCTTCATCATTGCCCAGAGGACCTGTGCAAAAAAAAGACAATTTTAATCCGAGATAACGGAACGAAACGAAAATTATTTAGCATAAACTATAAAAGGTATGTTCTAAAAAAAAGTTTCCTCAGTTTTTAGAGACAGATAATATTAAAAATAGAAAAAAATTGGACATGGACGGTTTATTGCGAGGATTGGAGCCACAAATAAACTGTGAACAAAATTAATTTCTGAAAAATTTTCGGGCAATTTAGCTAATTGAACTAATTTTGAGCCAATTGAACTAATTTTGAGCCAACTGAAATAATTTTGAGCCAACTGAACTAATTTTAAGCCAATGGAACTAACGGATATTATAAATCCTCTGAGGCATGATCCAGGCACCAATAGTGATGTCACACTGGTGTTGATCGAAGGGGAAGAGAGAGATCTCAAAAGAACAGGCCACATTCATGGTCACCAGAGACGCCCAGAAGGCCACTGCCCCCCAGGAGTCCACAATCTGTCTGTCAAATGACTCATATTTCACCTGCAGTGCATTCAGCACGTCTGAAAACACAAGGCTTCAAATTTCAGCGAACCATTTTTTCTGCTTCGCTGAAAGATAATTTGAATCATGGTTAGCTTCCACAGTGTAATAGGGATTTCAAACGAATATTTCCAAAAATCATCCGGAGAGCCAAACCGCTATCAAATTAACATTTCGCGACCGACAAAGTCAAAAAATTAGTCGCGACCCGGGCTGTGTTCAGCAGGTCAAATTTTTGAGAAGAAAAATCAGCCAAATTGTCTTTCTTAAGTATTTTTTGCTGTTTTTGACGAAAATAGGATTAATTTTGTTTAAACTTACTTATGTCTGCCATCCAAAAAGTATTCTGAGGCACCGTAATCTGAGACCTGTTTCCGAAGTCTTCGGGGTTCCAAGAAGCCGAGGGTGTCATATACAGACAGTATATCCACAGCTGAATGGTCAAATAGCCATCTTTTTCGTTCACGTCGGAAATTTGGTTGATATCAACGAATGCAAGTACAGTTCGATTTATCATATCGGCCGGCGGAAAGGATTTTGGCAGAACTTTTTCCAGTTTCCGAAGAAGTCTAACTTCATGCTCAACTCCGTTAGCAAAATCAGTGTCATTTAGCGCGTTGAAAACCCCGAGAAAGATCGCAATAAGCTCAAAAAGTCTACAGTTAAAAAGCTGCATTATATGGTAATTTAGAATGATCAAATTACAACAGCTTCGTCAAAAAATAATTGTGTTCGAAAATTGTCAATTGTGAGGCTACTGAGTTGAAATGAGTGATGCTTGTCTAGTTTCAAACAGAAAGTAGTCGATTTTTGTGAGCTGAAACAAGAAGCAAAGATTTATGTACGTCGATGAGTGATTTTCACAAAGTTTGAAAGGTACAATTTTCCATTTAAATCTGCCAATCAATCAAAAATGCCCCGAGATGTCTACCGAATCGCTGCAATTTAATTTATTTGGTACTTTTTGTGCGTCACAGAATTAACTTTTAAAAAAATCGAAAACATGACAAGTTTTTTTCTTTGCCTTCTTTTAATTGCATTGATCGCCCAAAGCACTGATGGAAAACTTTCAGAATGGGGGCCTTTTGGCACGTCCGCGAAACTCAGGATCCGGTTCACTCAGAGTATGTTCACAGCACCAAGTTATTACATATTCTACTTTGCAATGCCCGACAACCGTCGAATACTGTTTCACTCTAATTCAGTTTTACGAATTGTCGCTTGTTACGAATTTTATTGGATTTCAGAAGCTTTTATTTGTTGGATTTCAGAAATTATATTGACTAAAATTCGGTATGTTTCAACTGTTTCGGCGTTTTTTTTTAAAGAGTTTTTGCAAAAACCACTGCTTCGATCATCAAACTTTGCTTTGAAGAACAACCCAACCCGGGCATGAATCGGTCCGACTGTACATGAATCGGTATCGAATAGTTTTGGTAAAGACAATCTTGAAAAAATTTGGACAAAATTAACATCAAGTAAATAAATTTGAGTTGTACGAAGTGATGGGAGGCGGAGCAAAAAGCAATATTCATTTGAATAATGTAAAATAAAATTGTTAAGGTAAAAATTAAAAAAGTCAATATCAACGAAAAATAATAGATTATGTATAAATTGAGGATTTTGATCAGTTTATTTTAAAAATTTCAATAATAAACTTATTTATGAAATCTCTGAGGTCCATGTTTATTCATTAGACCAAGTTAACTTCTCCCCCCACCCTCCCCAAATATGTTTAGGGGGAAGGATGTTAACTTGGTTCTGCGGTCGATTTTTCATCCAATCAGAATAGAGCATTTTACAAGCAGCGCTTAGAAAATTTAATTTAAACTGAAAACTGGGGTGGAGGATCTTAATTTGCTCTCTTTGGGATGGAGGGGGTTGTTGGATTTTAACTTAATCCAATTCATTTCCTGGGTAGTATCGAAGGTTCCAATAATTGTTTTGATCAACTAGCCCTTATAAATCTATATCTGTCTGTTTTTCTGCTCTTAGACCCTTTCTGCTCTTGAAACATTCTGCTCATTAACTGGCCGCCAAAGTGAATGATTTGGTGGCTGTATATATTAGGCGAAAACTATTTTAGGCGAAAAAAGGTGTTACACTTAGGCGAAAATTTTGATTAAAAAAGTGTACATTTTATCTAAATCCCCCTAATTTTCCAGACGACATTGACGCGGTTAAAGACTACAAATCCGCTAGTCGGTTCGAGGTCGCGCGCGTTGGTAGGCGCGGTACGCGCGCGTTGCCGCTTTCCGGCGAAAACCCGGCTCTGATTTTCGTAAAGAGTCTTACCCTCTGTTGGCAACAGTCGTCACTATTTTACCGTTGATTTGCTGTTTGAAAAATATTGTGTTTTTTATTTAGCAAGGGAATGACGTAAGTAATCACATACAATTTCTGCTGAAATGTACACTTTTTTCATCATAATATTCGCCTAATTTTAACACTTTTGTTTTCGCCTAATATAGTTTTCGCCTAAAATAGTCGCCCCCTGGTTTATGATTGCCTCAATTCAATCTATTTGGAATTATTTTCTAACTTTAAATAATTTGTGTTACGCTTTCAACACCGTAAAAAAAATCTTCGCTGTGAGAATAAATTAGTCCAGAGCATGCCCAAAAAAACTATTTTTAGAGCCCAATAATTCTACAAAAAAATGGGAGGTGAAGCATCTTTTTAAAATTGAAATCAGGAAGTTGATATCTTCAAAAGGCCATAAATGTTTAGTTTACAATAGGCTATTACTATTTAGTTCAAAAATATTTAGTTGACATTTAACTGCAAAAATTTTTGAAAAAACCACCCCAGGCATAAATATTCCACATTTCCTCGAATTCCGGAATAATAAATTGGGTTTTGAGAAATATGCTTATTCATGGTACGTGGCAAGATCGACACTAGGAATGGTGATAAGAGACATCGAACCTTTTGAAAGTTCTCTGTCTACCAACGTGCCATTAGAGCAACATCAAGCTTACACGGCGATGTGATCAAGCTTACACGAACTGCAGTCCCGGGTTGACCTCCATACACCGAAAATGGTTATCATACAATTCCATACATCAAGTGTATGGAAAAATGCTTGTCATACAATTTTCATGCAATTTCTAAAAATGGTTGAAAACTGGTATAAACTTATTTCTGTGGATGTTTGATTCTTATAAAACAGTCTGGTGATAAAAAACTGAGGTTCTCGTTTTTTTGAAAAAATTGCTTATCATACAATTCCCATATATGGGAATTGTATGACTGGCATTTTTTTGATGGCGACACAAAAAATTTTTCAAGTAATTTTGAAAATTTGGCCCAAAAAAATTTTTGTTTTTTTTTCAATCGCAAATCGAATTTCGTACGCAAACAAACATTTTTCGAAATTTTTTTTTTGCATGCAAAATTTAATATTTTGTGTGCATAACGTAGTCCTGGATACGATAAAATTGGCTTTTATTTTCTTTTCACTTAAATTTTTTTTTTTTCAAAAAAGGTGAAAATTCCTATTTCTTTTGTATGGGGTGTTAATGTAAGCCTTGATCAATGTCTGATAACTTGAAAGTTCAAAAATTTAAAATAATCATCATTAATTCGTTCGTTACTTTTGTTATATCAATTGTGAAAAACATCCATATTCAGGTCGTTTGCTACGCATTGTAAATGCAAGACCGTCCAACCTTTGGTGTTTTGAGTAACCAAGGTCTTTGTCACTTGTGTTCGGTTGCAAACACAACCAAAAACTTTTCAGAAACTAAATTTTGAAAGAAAAAATCAAAATTTTTGGTGTATGGAAAAACACCTATCATACAATATTCATTTATGGAAAAATCTTTATCATAGAGATTTCATACAATGTTCTGTACGTATGGCATTGTATGGAATTGTATGACAAGAAGTTTTTCATAAATGGAAATTGTATGATTAGAAGTTTTGGTCAACCCGGGGTAGGAGGAATGAGCCTCTAGAAAGCTGCCTTGACCCTCCAAAAAGCTTCTGGACGAGCAAAATCAGACCAAATTAAACCGCCTGCCCCAAGCATTGGGTTCTCCTCCAAGCATTGGGTTCATAAGTTATGTTAACATAGCATATTGGGGTATGTTAACTATGTTCAAAGTGGGAGTTTTAGCTATCAAAATCGGCGTTTTTTATGCAGCGCTTTAAAAATGTACCCCAAATTTGATGTTGAGTGGACGACCTTAGCTTGGTCAATCTCGGAAGGGGGAGTTCGAAATTAATGAAAAAATCGATCGCTAGAAAATTGGGATCTGGAATTGCAATGGTTGACTAGAAGAGCATTTCATCAGCTGGTCCGGAAAGGTAAAGCCATTCGATCAATTGGAGGTTTCTCATATGAAATTACGTCACAGAAATTACGTCTCAGGAGTGACTGCATCTGTGTGCGAGCGATGAAATCGATCGTCAAGCGAAGAAATGGATTGAAGATGAAGAACTGAAGCTGAACATTTCAAAAAAACTCATTCATAGTCAAATTTACTTGAGACAATGACAGTGCATTTAAAATACGACTCCGAGATTGAGTGTTTTGTAATGGTTTGAATTCCATGGACATATTGGGCCTAGAGATTTCATCAAATTTGCAAGGGGCTTAACAAAATGTCGAAGAAATGAAATCAAAAGAGAAACGCTTACACATTTTTAGACATTTGCACATCAATGGTTTATCGTTTGTCATTGTGTTCTTAATACAGTAAAAAAGGACTCGAATTTCATGGAGGCATCATTTGTCTGCGGGTTCCGGCTACAAACGCCTCCACAATAAGTATGGAGCCCTTTTTTATAAAAGATAGATTTGTGAAATTCAGGAGGAAGCGAGCGAGCGAGCGAGCGAGCGAGCGACGTTTTGTGCTATATTATAAAACGCGTTGCGTCGTATAAATTGAATGAACAAAATTTCATTGGATTGCACAAGGACCTCATGGGTGAATTAATCTACTTCAGTTCGGGGACATAAAAAAAGTTGCAATTATTGGTTTCTTACCCCTGTTGTGGTGCTCGATTTATGTTTCGACTCTCTCTACCCAATAAAGAAAGTATTTTACTTTGTTCGACTCAGTTGAGATATGTTTCGACGTTCTCAACCAAATTTTGGTATGTTTCAACCGTCTTGTCCAAATTTTGGCATATTTCGACTTTGTTTACCTATTTTTGTTCATTCCGAGGCCAATCTGTGCACTGGATAGGCGCACAATTTTGTGTCTCTATGTTCCTGGATTCCAGAGACAAATCTTTAATCATGTTGAAATTTTGTCGGAACGATCAAAGAAAATGAGAGAATTAAAGAAGAACAAAAGAGCGCGTCCTTTTTGCGGAATTCGCTTACAGTTCACAAAAAACACAGTTTGGTCTCGTAATGTTATGTTTCGACTTTCTCGACTCACTTTTGGTATGTTTCGATTGTCCCGACCCAACAAAAAATGTTTGATGTTGTAAAGTTTATTTGTTCGAACCTGCGTAGTTATGTTTCGATTTTATCGACCAAAAAGAGGTATGTTTTGACTGTCTTGACTTTCTCGACAATTTTATAGCCCATCTCAGACTCGTTTCAAGCGGAGTGAAGAGCAATGGGATGTCTAATGATTATCTTAACTATGTAGTTCATCACTCTTCTTCCGTTTTCTCTTCAATTTCTGGAAAGTCAAGATTGAAATTTTGTCATATGATAGTTAAAACTGTTCATTAGAATAAAACTGGATGCAGATCCGTACAAAGTTGTTTTCAAGGCGTCGTTCGGTCATTGCTCCAATTTTCGTAATAAAGGTAACGGAATATTTGTGCTCAGTGTGG